CATTCATCTAAACTGAATTAAAACTACTTCAATTTCAAATGATGCTCTTTGTCAGAGATTTAATGCAGTGTAAAAATAGCCATCATTTGATACAGTTTTCCTGACAGTCTTTGTATGGTTAAAACCACACTCCAGTGTTACTCAGATTATTTCACCCCAGCAGCAGAACTCTAGTTCCAGAAGTGCACACCTGGAAATTTGCCATTGAATAGAACAACAACAATTATCTGTGTTCCATACTTCTCACATAGGCATAGAATTTTTGTGTGCCCAGCAACCATGCAAAATAACTTTGATTCCCTTTTGCAAGAAGAAATTAAAGTCTTTCCAGCAGTCCAGGGGAATAGTTCTTGTTTAGAAATTGTCTGTTTGGAAATCTTGTGTCTTGTCAATTTACCCCATTTTAGCATTGCAAAATGTTCAGTTTCAGACTGTTCTATGTTACAAAACACAGCAATTAACTGAAAGCCCATGTATTCCAACAGCAGTTGGAGAGCCACGTGATTCTATTTCTTAACTGACAACTTTGTGTCTTGTGGACTGCAGGACTCAAAATGCTGGAGCTTGGCAGCCGTGTTATTGGGCCATAGAGCATTACAATTAAGCTGATAAGATACGTCCATTTCTCTACAAGCGATCATGCTTGTAGTCCTGAAATCTTGTCATCATTTAACACCTTGTGGTGTTGCCTCCCATCAGTATTTTGCTGTAAAGAGCCCCAATTGATGATTTGATCAGCGAAGCAAAGAAAGCACAGAAAAGCTGTGTGTGTGTGACATGCAATAGTCTCTGAAAAGAGCTGGGATTGCAGTTAGCAATAATTGTGTTCCTGTCATCTTCAGAAATGTAGAGTGTAGGTAGAAGAAACAGTAATTAGCAGTAAAAACAGTAAATAACAGTAAACAGTAAATTCATATGCAAGATGAATTAGTTATAGAAATAAGACTGAAATGCAATTATGTACAGCAGATCTCAGGCCTGGGACGTGTATGAAAAATACTTAGTCCTTAATGGATAACTGAATGTACAGACTCCAGTGAAAAGAATCATACAATCATTTGAGATGGAAGGGGCCCTCAGAAGCCATCTAGTCCAACTCCCCTGCAATGAGTAGAGACAGCTACAGCTCCATCAGGTGCTCAGAGCCCTGTCTAGCCTGGCCTTGAGTATCTTCAGGGATGCGGCATCCACCACCTTTCTGGACAACCTGTGCCAGAGCCTCATCACCCTTGTTTTGAAAGCTTTACCCTTACATTCAAAAGATCAAAAGATTCCAGGCTTTTCAGAGAATGTTGGTGTGCCCTGGATAGCTGAGGCAGCTAATTTGTCTGCTTTGCAGCTACATTTAATCTCACCACTATTGTCCAAAATCAAACACAAAAGCTCTCACATATAAGCTCACAGTTTCTGGTGTACAATAGGCTATGGTGGACTGTGAAAAGTTTCTGTTTCCCCAGAGATCAACACTAACTCTAAAAGAAAGCCAGAGAAAGCCAGTGTACATTATTCAGTTTTCATCAGTATTCATCAAATTTCTATTAAAAACTGCAAAAAGAAATGTCTGCTGCTTCTTACAAAGCAGACTATGAGCAGGAACTACTACTTGATTTACCTTGTGGATTTTTTTTTTAAGGAGAAAAAAAATAACTTTTAAAAATTTAGCTGTTGAATAGCAGATAAGATACCTAGTCAGGAGATACAGGAATAACCAGGTAATTATTGTCACCTGTTAGCTAAATGTAAATGTGTAATGTACTCACTGCACCACAGAACTTCACCCCTTGTGCAGCCAACCAGGTTATACACGTACTGGCACAACATGTTATGTTAAACATACTGTTCATTCCTCTGGCTGGAATGCAATTTCTTTGGATTTTATCCCGAGGACATTAGGGTTACAAAGTCTTTCTTCCTTTCTTTCTGTCTGCCTGTCTTTTCCTGGCCTTTCACAGCTACCTGTGTGACCCTAATACATTTTGAATGTTTGTTAAGTTTCATTGCATCTGGTTGAAAGAGGTCAGTTTCACATGTAAGTGTGCTGCTGCTTTAGACTTCATGCTGTCTTGTGCAGAGCAGAGACCCACAACCCAGGAGTGGGGCCACAGGGAAGATGAGACACGTACTATAGGTGTTTTTGAAAGAGATGCCCAGACACAAATGACACAGATTCATCAGAGAACAGGGTCCTCAGTTCAGCTGCCTCTACGACCAGGAATTTCTGCTCTGCTGTTTGCTGGGCGTGCTGAGCACATTGTGCAAGCATGTGGACACCACCCTGTTAGCTTATCCAGTTGCTAACAAGAATGTTTCATAAAAAGCAAGAGCTGTACCTGATCTCAAGCAAACTACAAAAAATAACTACTTCCACTTGCAAAAAATGTTTGATGCTGTGAGTGGCCAGTTGCATGGCATAGAAAAGATTATTTTAACAGAAAATTCTCTTACCTCCGTGACTGCTCTGAACTTCCCCTGCTTGGACCCAGTTCTCACCACATGTTCTGTTTTGTTTTCTTTTCCTGGTTATAACTTCAAAGGATTGTCCTGCCATTATGAATAAAGATGAATAACTTCAGAAGGGCATCTCAGGTTGCATATAAATTACTGCATGCTCTGTCATGTTCCCAAACATTCATTTCTGCTCTGCAAGCCCTGCCTGCCCTGCAAGGCTGACATAATCATTTGGTGGGGTGAGCTGAAAGTGATCCGGATAAGAAATAATCCATCATAAGAAAAGGTTTATTTTTCAGCCAGATCAGCCTCTCATGCCAACACACAGCAGGGAACAGAGCGCTGTGATGGCAACAAGCACTCAGGGATGGCAGATGTGCTGCTGCCCTAGAATTACCTGTGACTTTTCTCCCTTCATCTTCAAAGTGTAATAGGAGTTGTTTCATAGGAGTAAGTGTTGAAGAGTGACTGTCAAGCACTCGATGAGAAGCAATCAGCTGTGTCAACTAGCAGCAGAGTATAAAGAAAGGCTTTATACAAAAATACAATTACCCAAACTTCCATCCCACAGAGAAGGCCTTGTGTCCCATTCTTATTAACTTACTGCTACCAAACTGTTCTGGCATCTGAAACCCCATCTGAATTAACACTGGGTGCACTACAATGTGTGTTTTGACTGATGTCACTCAACAGCTCTCCCACACACATACTGTCATAGGAGGGAGCAAAAATATTTTGTGTTTCTCACAAATTTTGCAATTCTAATCGAGGGGAAAGGACACTAACAGACCTCTTATGAACATATAATCTCTTTTCTACCCCTCTTCCTCTGTTTTGAGCTAGGATCTATCATGTTTCAAGAGCATCAGTAGATGCTCTTGGAGGTCTGAGGACATGTAAGAGGAAGGTGGAGTATGAATCACTGTCATTCAAAATTGGCAGGAAAAGTGAGAGACAGCGGAAAATAAAGGATTCTGGGAAACTAATCACTTGAAAAACAAGCAAACAAAGAAACAAACTATGCTTTCTTCTGTGAGCATCGCCGTACCTCTGGCTTTTTGCCCCTTCATCCAAATTGTCTGCCAGTGACATGAAGTGAGAGCCCAAAGGCTAACTTTCTTCACAATGTTTACCGGAGGAAAACTTACCAGTGTAAGTTGTAAAGTTAAAATTATAACAAAACATAAAGCCATAGAATCATTAAGGTTGGAAAAGACCCTTAGGATCATCTATTCTAACCATTAGCTGACCCTCACCATGCTCACTAACTGTGCCTCTCAGTGCCACACCTCTACAGTTCTTGAACAGCTCCTGGGACTCTCCTTGCTGACTCCACCACCTCCCTGGGCAGCCTGTTCCAGTGCCGGACTACTCTTCCAAAGAAGAAATTTTTCCTAATATTCAAACTGACCCTCCACCGGTGCAACATGAGCCACTGCTACCCAGGAGCAGAGGTCAACCCCCTCCTCACCACCTCCTTTCAAGGAGGTGTAGAGGACAATTAAATCTCCCCGGAGCCCCCCAGACCACACAACCCCAGTTTCCTCAGCCGCTCCCCATCACGCTTGCGTCCCAGACCCCTCGCAGTTCCACTGCCCTCTGAATGCACTCCAGAGTTTCCATGTAGCGAGGCGCCCAGAACTGAACGCAGCGCTCAACGTGTCAGCTCACCAGCGCCACACGTGCTGGAGCTTTCTGCCCATAGCATCCAGCTTTGGCAAAGTTCTGCCTGTGCCTAACAGGACATAGTGTTGTGCTGATAGTGCAATTTCATTTTAGTATTTTCATTTCGCATTTGTTCAAGCAGTAAGAGAGGCCACAGCCTGCCATCATTCAGTCCAAATAGATGCGCTTTTTTATTTTTTGCCTTTTTTTTTTTTTTTTTTTTTTTTTTTTTTTTTTTTTCCCCTGCAGATGTAGGCACAAAGTGATGGAGTCTGTGAGTCTGTGCAAAAGGCAACTTTCTCAATGGCACACCTCAGCTAGCCGCGGTGAGGAGTAATCGGCAGAAGGAAGGCTTAAGGCGGCACTGCGGGAAGGTGCGTGGGCAGCAGGGGAGCTCAAGGGGCACAGCGGAGCGGCGCGGGGCGAGGCACTCCTGCGCTGCGCTGGGGCGGCCGCTGCCCCCACGCACTGCGGCCCCCGCCGGGCTGCGCGGGGCGGACCCCGCGCAGGGCGGGCAGCGAGGCTTCGACAGCGGGGAGAGGAACGGCGCTGCGCAGCCCAGCATAGGCACCCGGGTAGCGCCCAGAACCTGGCCAAGGACTGCACAGCTTCGGCACCGGGCGGGGTAACGCTTCGCTGCTCCTCGGGCACCGCTGGGGGATCTCCGTCCGCTCTCCGCCTCCCCTCTCGTTTTCTACTCCCGCCCGCTCCTTGCACTCCTTCGGATCATTTAATCTCACCTTCACGGCCCGGAATGGAGGGAGCGGAGAGGGAGGGGAAAGAAAAGAGAGATTTTGGGGAGCGAAGGGAGCAGCGAACGGAGCGGAGCGGGGCCGGACAGAAGGGACAGCGCTGCCCTGGGGAGCGCACGGCGGGGGGGACGGGGCGCGGCCGGGCCTTGAGATGATGCTTCCCATGGTGAATGAGAACGGTAACGGGGGAAAACGGGAACCTGAAAAAAGGAAGCAGCTTCCTTCCTTTCTTCCTGCGATCGGTGCCGCCCTCAGCCTGAGAGCGGCGGGGGCTCGGCGCAGGGAGAGGTCCTGTCCGGTCCGCCCCGAGGGGGCAGAGCCGCTACCCCGGGGCGCTCCCGAAGGGCGGGGGGAACCTCAGCAGTGCAGGAGCTGAAGTCACCAGCATGAGTCTGGGGAAGAAGCTGCAGCCCGGCTGGTGGTGCTGCTCAACGTAACGAGAGACAGGCTCTCTTCTGGCTTCTTGCATTCACTCTGCTGCTGAGAAAACCTCTATGTATGCACTGATGGGCTGCCATAAGGACACAGCAGGTTAAGCAGGCGTAGGCAAGGGCACAAAGACTGGCAAAGCTGCACGTGTGAAATCTGCTGCTTTCAATACTAACCATATCCCAGACTGTTTCTCAGCTACTGCATTTATCCCATGTTTTTTTTCCCCTGGGGTTCCGCAGTGTCATCCAGAACCAGAACTCACTCTCACTGCTCTTTTCAGATGTGGGAGAGAAGGAGGAAGCCTCCAAATCCCTCATGGTACAGCTGCATCATTGACCCCAACAGGTAGTACCCCAAAAGAAGTGCTGCTTATAGCCAAGCAGTTCTGCTGTGGTCAGAATCAGAGTGTTGCAGCTGCCACGTGGTACAGTTCTGTTGTTTTATTGTTACATAGAAGTGTAACAGTACTCCAACATTCCTCACAGGAAACCTGCAGCTTTAACAGCCAAGGCCTTTGCTCGCAAAAGCCATGTCCTGTTTCCCTATTGCTGTGCTCTACTCTTTGCATTCTTAGTGAGCAGCAGCAAGGCTGCACCACTCTCTAAGCTGAGCAGCCCACACCACACCCATTCCCTTTACCCTGCTACATCCCTTGCCCTGCAGATCCCGTGTTCTCAGGGTGCTGACCAAAGTATGCCTCATTTAGCAGCTGCTTTTCCAGTATCTACCTCGGATTACTTACCTGTGTGAGTTGCCAGTACGATTAAACCATAACATGCCATCATGACGTCCAAACCAGACAGATCTGGGAAAAATGGCCTCCTTCCTACCTTTTATGTTCGTAGGCTGAGGATCCATTACAGTGGAAGTTGTCTCTTGCTGTGTTTGTTTCAGTATCTTGCAGTCAGCTCTTATTTTAGCAGAGCATCGTGACACAAAGCTGTAAAATACAAATGATCTGCAGCACCTCCAGTGAGGCAGAGTACTTGACTTTGAGCTTCTGAGAGCAGACAGCAAAGGGCAATAGCTGATGCCATTGTTAGCAGCACCTTTGTCTAATACCACTTCTTTTTACTAAATAGGGATGCAAACTTGATAATAAAGCAGAAGTGAATGCAAATAAAAATCTGCTGCTCAGATTTTGGAGGGCTTCAAGTAGATTGCTGTGAATTTATGCACCCATTTTTATACAAAGCATTATCAAACTCTGTTACATTTGTGTCTGTGTATTTACTTCAGGCACAGAAAAAAAGAAAAAAGATTAAAAAAGTAGATTAAGAAAGGTACGGATTGCATAAACAATGAAAAAAGTCACATCAACCTTCACTGTCATCTTCTAAAAGACAGCTATTCGCAAAGCTGCTTGCCTTGAATCTCTGTGTGGAGCTATTATTTCATAGAACTCTCTTCTCCAAGCTGCTTTTCACTCCCACTTGATCTTAACACTGACAGTACTGCTTGATAGCAGTGGAGGAAAACATCACTTTCCTGTGGCTTTGCACAGCAGGGAGCAGCCAGCTGAAAGCCAGCAGGGACTGTGAATGGTACCCTTTGACTCTGTGTGGAAAAGGAAGATGGAAGGTAAAGAGAAGATGAGGAAATAACTGCAGTTGAAATACATTCAGTTTACAGCCTGTTTTAATAGTGGTATCTTTTTACTTCATTAATTCAAGGAGAGGGGAGAAAGTGTCTTGCAGCATCCCCATACTTTGCTTGGTAGTTCAGTACCTTCCAAACCGTGGTCCCTGGATTTCCAAGGATTCATGAATGATTTGTTAACTGTAGCTTGAGGAGAAGAATAAGCTTACCTATCGGAATGCATTCAAGATGGAATTCTACAGTTTCTGGGTTTTCCTAACAGGGTTATAAACTGCTGCTTTCTGAACAGGCTGTACAGGAATCTGGTGGAGTCACCGTCCCCTGAGGTGTTTGAGAACCCTGGCAATGTGACATCTAGGGATATAGGTTAGTGGGCATGGTTGTGATGGGTTGGTGGTTGGACTTGGTGATCTTGGAGGTCTTTTCCAACTTTAATGATTCTATGATTGTATGATTCTGTATATCTGTGTATTGTCATTCTTTTAGAAATGCTTAAATTCTAACTCCTTTGTCAGGAAAAGTTGAGGAATGGCAGGTGAAAACAGCCTGCTGCTCCCTAGATTTCTGCCTCTTACCACATTTAACTGCCCCAGGACACCATGTCCAAACCTTCTTTATTTCCCCAGCCACCTCTCTTACAGTTCTAGCTATCACCAACCTGTTACACCATAGCAATATTATGCCTTTGGTACATAGATCATCAAACCTGGAAGAACTGAGAAATGCTGTGCATCAGTGACAACCATGGTCCTTGCCATAGCCCTGAGCTTTTTCAGTGAAACTGTAACAAAACAGCCTGGTTTATTTGACATCCATGGTGTCACAGGAAACAAGAGCAAACAGGTCCTTTAGCGACTACCATAGCAAATGGCTGCTTCATTATGAATTTGACTGTGTGCTCTACTGGCCATGAGTGAATCTGGCCAACTATTGGTACTATCTGGTTCCAGGTTTGCCTAGAAACAAAATAATGGCTGCTGTCATAAGCAGTGCTTGAAACAGAAGCTGTGGGAGATGTATTTGCACCTGTTAATAAAGTATAGTCTAAGAATAACCGCTGAGCTCCTTCCATTAACATTCTGAATGTCAGAATGATTTTTCTTTCCTAGGGAGCCTAACTCCTACTGTTATATGTAAATGTAATGGTCAGATGTGCAAGCACTTGCCTTCTACATGATGCTGCTGTTTTCATTGTAAGCCTGAGTACATTGTGGAAGCATTATCTGGCATCTCACTTGCTCAAAATTGTCAGAAAACAGGCAAGGAATTGTTGTACCATGTAAATGAGAAAAGCTGGCCATCTGGTCCAACTGTACCCATCATGGTGGAAACCTCACTCTACAGAACAGTGAGCTGGCAGCACGCATGTATGAAAGAGAATGATATTTCTGTGTCTCTTGACAACTTTGTAATGCTTGAATCAGCTTCCCTCAGGCTCCAGAAGGACTGGTGCACTACCACCACCACCACCTTCCGGACAAAGCTCTTGTCTCCTCCAGAGGAGAGACCTGGTCCTGAGGCTGCAGCTTGGCTGTACAAAGCCAAGTTGGGGGGCAGTGGTGCTTTTCTGCTCCAGGTTTAAACTTGGGATGCTAATGCAGGAAGAACAAAAAGTCAAACTTACAGTTTGGTGTGAACACATCTGCTGACACCACGGAGGCTCTTTGCTGTCACAGCATGCCTTCCCAGGACTTTCTCCAAGAGCCCATCTCTGTTTCACACAGTGAAGACCTTATGGCCTCTGTGCTTCATTATGAACGAGGCAGTGGAGGATGGAGATGCCTCTCTTGAGTCAGCAGTCCAGGAGCCTCCTAGAATCTGGCAGCGATGACACGTGAGAGGCTTTGCTCCAGGAATACTTGCCCTCAGAACACCTCTCTGCAGAGGAGTTGGGAGCAGACAGAAAATCAGCTTTAAAGCCCTAGCACAGGTGACAGTATTCTGCATCTCAGAAAGGAAGTTATGTATTTTTCTGCTTTTCCTCAATGTATGCAGAGGTAACTTTATCCTAATCAGTGCAACTCAGCCAATTAATTAGAGGCTAATGAAGACAGAGATGTGGATTTGGATATGGTCCAGGTGTTCCCAGAGGGAATCTGCACCAAGATCTAAGTAAAGAAAAAAGACTAAGCTTTGTATTGTACTCACACGGCTTCCAAGCATGTCTAAGCAATTGCTCAGTTCTGCATAGAGCTGCTGTCGAAATGGTCTCCACTGCTAGTTATGAGGTGACTGATAAGTAGTTATTATCCATGATTCATGCAATTGCCTTTTAAAATACTATAAAATTCAACTCTGATTCATTCTTTTCACCTTAAACTTCACAGTCAGAAATGGTGAATAAATACTCAGAAGAGAATAGAATCTCCAAGATGGGAGAAAAACAAATTGTTGCTACATTACCAACAGCTTCTGAAAACAGAGTAGCTTCAGTAAGGCCAGAACAATCCTGATGCCTTGAAAACAGCCCAGTGAGAAGCTCTGCTCTCAAGTTCTGCTTGTGAGATCAATTTTTATCTCTGTAAAAGCAAGAGCTCTTGGTTCTCAGTGCTAACAGACATAAAGTGGAGAGGTGGCAAATGTCCCCCACCTTTCCTAAAATTCTCATAATGGTTTAGGCTGGAAAAGACCCCTAAGATCACCAATGACAATCATCAGTGCACCTCCACCATGCCCACTGAGCTGTGTCCCTCAGAGCCACATGCACGCATTTCTGTTACGCCTCCAGAGACAGTGACTATGGAACCTCCCTTGATACAGCCGTTGTTAGGCTCCGTGGTTCTTCTGGTACCCAGAAAAAGCAGCCTTTTCCTCTGGCAGTGAGATAGCATTCAGCACGGCAGCCAGGCTAAGCCAGAAACGCTGGCCAATTTGCAGTGTGCTCAATTTTGAGCTCCCAAAGGGCCAGGGACGGCACGGTGCTGTGAGCGCGGAGCCCCGCAGGGGGAGCCATGGCACACGCCCGCAGCCGGAATCCGGCTGGTACTGCCGCGGCTGCGGGAGCCGGGAGGCTGTGATTCCTTGATTCCTGCAGTGAGGCTGTGATTCCTGCAGTGAGGCTGCGATTCCTGCAGTGAGGCTGTGATTCCTGCAGTGAGGCTGTGCCCTAGCGTCGGCCTCTCCAGTGCTGTACCGCAGAAGTGGTTCCCACTGCTCACCGATCTTCACTTTGGTGAAGGTTATTAATTCTTGAATGGATAACCCAGGACTTGCAGAGCTTGCTGTGGCCTCACGATGCTTGCAGCTCAGAACTCCATCATAGCTAGCTGCAGATAAAAGCTGGTTTCTTACTACCTGGGGATTAATCTACCTTCTAGCTCTTCCTCAGCTCCTTGTATTTTCCCATTGTTTTCCTCACTTTCACAGTGGGAGCGTGATTCAATCACAGCAACAACAGTCCTGCTCACTTCACAAAGAGGCTCATAAGTACACCACTGTGAGTTGGGAGTTGTAGAATGATTGCACATTTATGTGTTCCCATTGTGTTTGTGACTGGTTCGCAGAAAATGAGAAGAGGGAAAGCCCTGAGTTTTGGATGAGTGAGTGTGTTCAAAGGTGAGATCTTTACATCTGATGAATTTCAGGTCTTCATACTGTGAACCTCAGTGGCTTCGATCTGGTGGCTGAAATGCAGCCATCACCTTCAAAGCCTTTACAAGGTCACTGATGCAATAGTGTCTGTGAAACAAGGTTGTGCAATAAGGAAAAAAATAATAAAAGAAAGCTATGGGAACACAGTGCAAATTCTCATGCATCAGTGTGCCAATTTGTTATCTCTGTTTACGCAAAATCTTTGAAATCTTGTATTTTTGTGAGTCGTTAGAATAGCATAGCACTGGTTCACAGGTCTATCCCAGACTGTTTGAGCTGTCACAGCATAAAGGATCTGTTCTCTAAGAAAGATTTGGAGCAACTCTCATAAACTTTCCATTCATCTGAGTAAAAGACCCTTCATGCAAGGTCATCAGATGCCACAGGGAAATAGGAAGCAGTTCCCATAATAGTAAATGTAGCAAATATGTGATAGAGGGGTGAAGACAGTTCTGAAACAGTCCTGGATTTAGACCCTGCTCACTGTTTTCTCTGAGTCATTTTTTCCAAGTGGCTCTTCCGAGACACAATGAAACACTGTGGCACTGCTTCCTATCCACACAGCATTCCTCAGGACACTTTAAGCAACAGTGCAGAGGAGGAAAAAGGGCTGGGAACAGCATTCTCTGGATAGAACGTAGCAAAGGCAGGAGGTTAAAAATGGGAGAAATTCTCCACTGATTCAGTCAGATGGAGGACATGAATAGCTCAGTTCACAAGGACAGGGAATAGCAAGTAGAAAGGAAAGTCAAACAGTAGGTTATAAAGGGAAATTGCTGCCATGAAAGAATATACATAAACAGCCTACATGCTCTAGTTTGGTGAAAGCTACCGACAAGAATTGGTGTCCATAGCAGCCCAGAGAAGTAGAACAGGAAAGCTGGATATGGCAAAATCTCATTTCTGTGAAGGTGAGTGCTTGCTTAGAGCACGTGTATACGTGTATATAAATATATAGAAATGTCTGAGATTGAGATTAAAATTAAAGGCATAACCTCTAACATTATAAATGTGAGTAAATGGCTCAATTGTATCTTGCTAATTCCACTGCTGCTGTGTATTTCACAGGGTCTAGATAGAAAGAGATATCTGACAGGGAGACACATTACACCTAGTGTACACGTGCCTCTAGTGAAGTGAATTGGTGTTTTTGCTATCTCGCTTCACACTCTCTGGTGTAAAGTATAAACACATGCAGGCTTTTGGAAGTGTACAAGCAACAGAAGGGAAGCATGTGTCACTCCACAGAGGTAGAAGTTTGTCTTTCAAATATGTGCTAGGCAACAATACCAGAGATCTGGCTTTGGTTCTTGCTCACAACCCAAATATTATGTCACTGTGGCCAAATAGCTGCATCTCTGCTATTAACAGAAATTCCTGTGCTTTTAACAGAAAGATTTATTTCTCCACACTTCTGCACTCACATTGCTTGTTTGTTTTGCATTTCAAGTACAGTAACAAACACAGTAAAATCTTAGCTAACTCAAACCAGAGCTTCTATGTGCTGATGTCATGGTTCTATGTTTCTTGTTTGTTTGTTTTTATTTTGGGTTTCAGTATTCCACATCAAAACATCATGTAGTGTACAGGGCATTGAAGTGTCACTGCCCCAGTCCCAGGTACCTATCCCTGTACATTACAGCAGTCACGGGATCTGGCCCTTCCGGGTGGGGCGGGCGCTCTCTTGCTGCCTGGCAGTGGGTGCTGGAGGTGCTTTCCTGGCCGTTCCAAGCTTTTCAGGTTTGACTCAGTTCCGGGAACTCTCTTTCTCATCTTGTCTGATTTATTAATCTCAATTTCAATTAAATTGTATATATTGTGTTATCTTATATTCCAATATTATAGTAAAATAAGTTTTCCTCCATAGATTGTTGCCGCTGCTCTTTTCCTCCCTTCCTTCCTTCCCATTTTTTGTGGGACTGGGGTGGGGGGGGAGGGCAGAGGCCTGTCGCCCCTGTCATGGACATAGATTGATCTGGTCAACTCCGTGACAGCTGAAAAGGCATTAACAGCATTCTGCTCATCTTCCTTCATGGTCCTGTGACAGTGATGCCCCCTTTGCAGTGGACCCCTCAGCAGCCTTCTCTTTTGGCTCAGTTGGTGCTTACTCTCAGCTTTCCGTTTCCTCAAATCATGGTCTTCCCATTCTGATAGTTCCTGTTTCATTAACATTCATTCTTCTTCCTCTCCAGGTGCGGACAAACTTTGGCAGCCACCAGTGCAATGATATCTTGAGACCCAGAGAAGATGCAGTGGAAGTGAAGGAGGGAAGGTAGGAGTGCCCTGAGGTAGGAGTGCCCTTCTGCAGCAGCTATGTTACACTATGCCTGGCAGCTCTACGGGAGGTGGTGCCGCTGGTCCAGTCCTTTCATCCACTTTCTCACTCTGACTGTAGTGACATTTGGTGTGCTGGCTCCTTTGATTTGCCACCGACTCCTCTACTCTTATTTTTATTTGCGGCGCTGGCACCTGAATCCCATGAGCCAGGAGTTCTTGAGTCAGAACCGGCAGGAGGGTCAGGCTGCCCTCCATTATTTTGAGAAGCTGCAGATACCAAATATCTCCAAGGCCTCCAACAGTGAAACCTTTCGGCCCTTGCTGCTGGTCACCATTATCACTGTGCAGAGGCGGGATGATTTCCACTATGTCTTGCAGGTGGCATCCCGTTTCCACCACCTCCTCCAGCAATGTGGGACAAATTGCCAGAGCCACCGTGTCCTCATCTGTAACGTGGAGCCTGACCCCAGTCATCATCAGGATGTCAAGCTGCTGAGCAGCTTCTTTCCTATGGTCAGTCGTGACAAAACTGGGGGGGACCCTGACCCTAGAGTGAACCACTTTGAGAAGGAGAAGCAGGACTATGTCTTCTGCCTTGAGCAGTCGCTCTTGGCATATAACCCAGAATATGTCCTGGTAGTGGAAGATGATGCTGTGCCAGAGGAAGAGATATTTTCTGTCTTGCAGCACCTCTTCTTAGCCCGATTCTCCAAACCATACCTCAGAGATGCACTCTACTTCAAACTTTACCATCCTGAGAGGCTTCAGCAGTATGTCAATCCTGAGCCCATGCGAATCCTCGAGTGGCTGGGTTTGGGAATGTTTCTGGGGCCTGTGCTGAACTGTGTGTACTCCTGGGCAGCTGGGCGCCCGAGCCTGAATTGGCCCATCATCTTGTTCTTTGCTGCCTATAGCATGGCACTGTCAGAGCTGGTGGGACGGCACTACCTGCTGGAGCTGCGCCGGCTGGCCCCTGTGCTGTATAACGTTGTGCCGGCCACAGAGTGCTGCACACCTGCCATGCTGTTCTCTTCTTCTTCTGCCCATCGTGTCTTAGGTTACTTGAAGGGGTTGCAGTGTCGCCAGGGTTTTGCTAAGGACATTGCCCTCTACTCACTGCTGCGCGCGAAGGGGGAGAATGCCTACGTGGTGGAACCCAACCTGGTCCAGCATGTGGGGATGTATTCCAGCCTTCGGCTAAACGACAACCCCAAACTGCTGTGATGTCTTCATGCCTTTCTAGACACAAAGTCCTGAAAACCTTGTCACTGAGCTGACACCGTAATCTCAAATGCTGAACACTCTGCCACTCGCACCAAATATCTCCTGCCTCTAAGTGGACAGAGAACAACACTTGAAAAACAAGTTTCTCAAGAAATGAAGCTTATGTACATGCAGACCCTAATCCGTATTTTGAACTAATCACTGTTCAGCATGTATGGCTAGGACTGGATGATCTCAATGGTCTTGCCAACCTTAATGATTCAATCATGCCATATGAGTGGGAAGTGGAGGCTTTCAGATTAGGATTTGGGTCAAGTACTCTCTTTCACCATGATCAACGAAAAGATCTCACACCATTACAAACAGCTGTACTGCCTACTCTCCTTTGCATTCACTACAGAATTCTCAGCCTAGGGAAGAAGCAATGCTGGACAAAGTGAATGTGTCTAAATTAAGCTAGTAAGGAGAAAGGGCTCTTATTTGCTCATCCTCACTAAGATCTGATGTCTGACTTTTTCAAAGTTGTGGTTCTAAGCACATCTTTCAAAAGCAGCATAGATGTAATAAGAACTTTCCCTGGAAAATCATGTAGGTTCTGCAAATTTTGCTAATAATTTAATTATTTCTTACTATCTCTCCTTACAGATCCTGTCTGTACCTATACCCTTTCCTGTCCTTTTCCTCAGAGCAGAGGTCATTGGAAACTTGTCTCTGCTGCTTTGTTAAAGGTCAGGTCAGAAGATAGGAATAGGAAAGCAGAATAACAGCCACAGGTGCTCACAGCCACATCACAAATACACAAGTTCATAGATGCATTTCCAGAAATTATAAACAATACATAATTACTACCATGTTGGTTGGTATCACAACTACTTGCAGAGGATCTAGGTTGTTAAGAGCTTTTATCAGTTGCTGATTGGACTTGGACATTCAACAGGAATTTACCTTGACTTCCAATCAGCACAGAAGCAAAGGGAAGATTACATCAGGTGCAGCCACAGTGTGGGGTTCCTTATTTCATTTTGGAACTGTAACTTACAGCTCTGTCGAAGTGGTCCACTCACTGCTCCTGGCAGCAGGCAAAGAGGCCATAAGAAACTAAGCTAGCTGTCATATAAAGAAGCAACACATCAAAGTGCCACTCCTCTGCTGACCCATTAACTTAACCTGTTCTGTTTGTCAGACATTTGGGATATGTACTTTGTACCTTAGCTGTGAGCACAGTTAAATATAAAACCATGGGGATAACAGAGATACCATATAACATCAAGACTGTCACCAAAACGTAACTGAAGAAAAGCCCTCTTGGACTTCTCTGGGCTTTGAATCAAGTTCACATTTAGGTGGAGTTTGCTTGAGCAATACTTGAAACCAGCTTCCTAACTTCAGAATTAACCAATTAACCAATAGCATTTTCATTGAGTTTTGTTTACGGAAGGTTGTTTATTCCTTTATTCTTGCCAAAGAAAGAACTCTACTTTGAATTTTTCTTTTCTCTAGCAGGTGATTTAAGCCTTCAGCTTTTAACAAGTTTGGCTGTAGGTGGAAAAGGCGTAAAAATCTTGAGAGGTGAATCATTTGCAGACCTCCAGCTGTGTTGTGTCCATAGTGGGTAATGAACACAAGGTACACGTGCTCAACATAGGTTAGCCAATTAGAAATGGCTTCACAGCTTGGGTCAGTGCAGGCTCAGACAGATGAACTTTGCTTGCTTAGTAGATCAGCTAGGACACTTTGATATCTTCTTTGGAAATCAGATGTGAATAAAGCTTGCTTGTGGATTCCATATCATTCCAAAGGCCAAACACCTCTTCTGCCAGAGGACACAGAAAAGATTGCACAGGCAGAACTCTTGCGTTCATTCTTAGCTGCCGAAAACCCCAAAGATATCAAAATGGTCACACAGAACCACAAGTGACAGGTGGGCAAGCCTATTCTTGGGCTTTATGATAACAAGGTAAGATGGCAGGATGTGAGTGTCACTTTCTATTAATTCCACTAAGTGCCTGCACCTGCAAGTACAACTTGTTTGCTTATGTTTCTTCAGCTTTGAGTGTTTCAGTGTGGTATGCTTTCTCTTCACTCTTTTTTTTTCAGCTTTGTACTGTACAAATCCAGAACAACCATCCTGTTATTTTCATGAGGGTTCACTCATGCTTGCAGTGAAAATCTCACTGTAAGCTATAATTTGGATATTAGGAAAAAATTTTTCTCCAGAAGAGTGATCAGGTGCTGGAACAGGCAGACAAAAGTGTTGGTCGAGTCACTGTCTCTGGAGGTGTTCAAGAAATATTTACATGTTGTACTGAGGGATGTGGTTTAGTGGGAAATATTGGTGACAGGTTGATAAATCTTGGAGGTCTTTTCCAACCTTCATGATTCTATGGCTCTATAATTCTATAATAAGTGGGATAGAGAAAGAAAAAATGAAAGAAGGAAAAGGAATTAAGAAACTTTAGATAAGAATGCAACTAACTATATGGAGTCAATAAATGTTTTGATGTGGGAAATTATGTATCAGTTTGTCTCCATGTTATTTTCCTTTTATTTTGCCCTGTATTACTCAGTTGTTCTAGTAGTCAGTAATTTGACTAGGCTTTATATCTGAAAACTGAGAACATGAACTTCAGGCATCCCTCTAAAACTGGAAAGCCACTTACAGTGCAACAGCCAAGGGAGTTTGGCTAGGAGAAAACAGCAAACAGCATTTGGAGGGGCAACAACTTCAACTTGCAAGTGAAAGAGCTCCTGATAAGCCACTTAAGTGCCCTATTCACCTTTACAATGGAGGTGGTTCCTTCACTGAGCCGGCTGGGAGCTTTTCCCGAGTTATTCAGGTACTTAGTGCCCATCATGATGTTGTGACATCACAGACAAGCATATATTCTGTGCTTTGGAACTCTGAAAATGACCTTTTTTTGTGTGTGTGTGTGCTACATGTTGTAAAAGAAATGACAATTTGGAGAACCATACTTCTTCATCTTTGGAAGGGAAAAAAAAAAAAAAAAAAAAGGTTACAGTTTACAGTTAATTCCAAATTCCTGCAGGATTTTATTCCACAGTTTGGGCTACAAGTGCATTTTCAAACATCGAACTCTTTTATTTCTCTTCCGCATAAGGAAAGTGCAGCTGAATTGTCATATCTTAGGCTATGTAAGATCAAACATCTCCTTGAACACAGCCTTGAGGTTCTTCTGACTCACATTCAAAAAATCAGACCAAACATTTTTGAAATAATATGGATTTTGTTGGATGTTGGTTCATCCTCAGTAGTTCAGGACTGTTTTTCAATGCAGCAATTATTGCTTGCACTGGAGGATTCCTGCTTCATGGGACAGGCAGCAGAACTCACAATTCAGGGAAAATTACTCAATTAAACAAAAAACTACCTCTGTTTCCAAAGCATATCCAACATAAGTAGAAAAGCATGATTCCTGCAAAAAACAAAATATAAATTGATAGGACTCTATTAGAAGCCCAAGAGGTTTTTCTAACCAAAACAGGTATCACTATTTTAGTGAGAAAATACTGCATTTGAAGGGAGAAGGCTAAAGACTTTCTCAGTCGTGATGAGCTGCAAATGGCCAGACTGGTTATTTCAACAGCAATTTGTCTGCACACAGGGTGCTTCTGTTTAAAATATAGGACTTCTTTTTTTTTTCCTGAAGATATTTACAAGCAAGTTTTCTTAAAAATAAATACATAAATAAACTGCATTTGTATCAAAACTGTTGTCTCTTTTGTCTTTGTGTCACTATTAGTTAGTTAGTTTTCCTGACTGTCAGATCCATCTCCTTCATTACTAAACTTGACTGAAGATACTTCTCTGATCACTTTTTTCATCTGCATGAATTGCCACTGAGTCCTCAGGTAGTACCGATTTAGAAAGGGACTCTTAAGGTCTCCACACCAGCTTTATAGATGTTATATCCAAATTCACCAGGTGTTAGGGTCGAACATATGGTTCCCAATCATCCTCAGTATACCTGCCAATAAAGCGTATAGCATTACGTGTCTGTTGAATGTGCTTCTCCATGTGTGTCAGTTTCCCCACACTACCTTCTGCCATGACAGGTCATGCTTTGAGAGAATTCTCCTGACTGGCCAGTTGATCTGTGCACCTACAGGCAAAAAGACAGCAAAACCAGTCCATTTCCAAGACCTCATCCTGTGTGGAAAGCTATAAATGCCACATTCCCAGCTGCCTAACTACTTCCGATATTAAGTATTGATGAAAAAAATAATGTTGTATTGTCTTGCACTGTTGGTGACTCTCTGGCCAAATATGAATTCTTCAGTGTCTATTTGCTTTTATAGTTTCTGCCATAATGTGCAGTGTTCTCCCTGCACTATGGAAAACACAATTACAATGGTATTTTCAACAAATGAGACCACTTCAGACATCTGCTGTAGTCTGTATTTTGCAAACCTAATGCTAACATTAGCATGTAGCACCTAAATGTGCTTTTTTGCAACTGCACTGCTTAGATAAAGTGGTAATTAACAGATAAGTGTTCCAGTCTAGCAGCAAGTTATTTACTTAACTTTCTTTTTAAAAGCAAAACGTCAGCAGAAAGGCACAGAAACCAGTGCCATTACTGCATTTATCTTCCTGTCCTATACAACACCAGCAGAAGACCCATAACAGTTATTTTGCACAGCCCAGAAATGTCACCACTGGCAGTCTGATTTGAAGTTGTAACCCCATTTGCTGTCCCCAGAATAGAAATGGCTGTGAACATTTGGGCTTTGATAACAGCCTAGATGTGCACTTGCCTATATTTCACTTTGAGCCATGATGTTTGTTGCAGCCCAGCATTAAGCCAAAAAACAGAAGAGCAAACAGGTCCCCCTGGCCTGAATGAAGTCCTGCACCAGCCCTGCCCATCACCCTCCACATACAACGTGCCTGCAAACACAGATGAGTACTGTGGAACTTGAAATATAGGTGATGTCTTTCAGTGGGGTTAAAGGACAGGTTCTCTGCAGTGAGGGCTAGGAGCGTAGGTGAATGAGGAAAACAAATCACTTAATAAACAATACCGCTGATTAGATAGGGATGAACAAGCTGGACTTTGAGACAGTTAGGTAAGACTGTAGAGTACAGAAAACAGGAAACATCCAGCACGAGGCAGAGAGGTGAAGAGGAGGCAGACTCCACTCAGCTCATCTGTTCTGATTAGACTTTAACCTCATCACGCAGGCAGCACTCTCCCGGGGCACTCAGAGGCAGGTGTTTTTCATGTGGATGCATATTCAACTCAGATATTCTTCTGAGTTTCAGCAATTCTTTCCACCTCATTTCAAACCTTTTCATAGCTCTGACCACGTACACAAGTTTTGATAAAATTCAGACTATGTCATTTCCAAAAGTGCAGAGGGAAGCTTTAAGTTAGTTTTGTTGTTGATCCTTTGCTTGATGGCCAGTTATGTAATCTTTGAAACTTCTTTATCCAGTTCTTTCTTTTCCTGAGTATTTTTCAGGTGCACTACAATTTGTCTCTTGTCTGTCTTCATGTTTACTCATTTTCATTTTAAAGGCATACTAATATCAGGCGAAAATCAATATCAGAATGATACTGCTGGACACACAGAAAAACACAGTCAGCAACCAGAAGAATTGTAAGCAATTCTAACCTTTTTTATGTGATGTCTTTAAGCCAGGCTTTCCATGCATTTTGAAGTACTTCATCCAGCAACAGTCTTCTCTCAGAACATCAGTGCAGAAGTGACAGAGCCTCTGCAAGCAAGGATATTACAAGCATATTGCAAGGACAGCTATTAGATTGACTTCTGCTGCAGAAATCCTCTGCCTGCAAATGATACATTTGGCACTGTCAAAAGCAAAACCACAAAATAAAACATAGATAATAGCTTCAGCCTCCTATAAAGAAAGATTCTGGTGGTCTTTAAAAAATGATTTAATATGCAGAACACTTATGTCAACTTTTATATGGTAACTTCAGGTTGAAGAATCAACATTGGCAGAACATTCAAGCCATTCAAATACAAAATTCACTACTGCTATGCCACGTTGGTGAGAAAGAAATATCACAGGATATCCCAAGTTGGAAGGAACCTATGAGGATCACTGAATTCAACTCCAGAGTCCACACAGGAACACACAGGACCTCCTGTGCTGTGATGTATACTTTGAAGTAACTGCTCACAGCCACAAATTCAATCTTTTTTGAAGCAGTTGTAGCCCTCTACCAGGGTGTTGACACAGATATATATCTATAGCCCCATAGCTGCATTATGTTACTCTGAAAAAGGCTTAAACTAACAAACACACAAAAACAAAATTCCAAAACAAGTTATTGGATTGGATTGGAAAGCTGAGAGAGATTATAATACTATAAGTTCAAACACCAGCCAGGTGAAACAGGTTTATAGTTTGGCTGATGCACTAATTTTGCTGTAGAAAAGTTTGTGTAGATAATGCTATCTTTTATGAGACAGGGTAGTTTCTGTGCTTAATGAAAGTACACTGCATTCCCCTCACTGTGCCAGTTTACTCTTACCTTCTGTGGAGATACAATACCACTATAACTTCAGAGGTGTAAGTATCCCTAAATTATGTTTACAGAGCTCTGTTCCAGTAAGTCTATTTTAATGTTACTTCACTACTCATTTCTGTGGATTGCAGTCTGCAGCATGGCTCTGCATGTTAATAGCACTGAACCCTACAGTGACATTATCTGGAGTGACTGATCATTCCACATGAAATGGCTGCAATTCCTAAATTAAGTGAGGAACTCAGCCATGAGGTTTTCACATTTCTTTTGCTCAGAATCTCTGCTAGGACTTGTAATACTAGTGCTATCTGTGCTGAATATTTGGCTTAGAAAAAATGGAAACCACACACTAGCCACTTCCCATATGGAAAAACTATATATGTAATTCTAAAGGAACAAAGAGCTGAAAGGGACTACAGGGGATTACCTAAAGTGCTTTTAAAATATCAGACAATTTTTATCAGGAAGACTTCTCCAGAATTTCTGTTATAGTTACACAGTCTATATCACAGCACATGGAAAGAAACGCTTCCTTGTATTTTCCTGTCTACAACAGCTTCTAAACAAACTGGGAATAATAAGAACCAGTCTTGGGTTTTCACTGCTGTCTTGAAGAAGGCTGTCAATATAACATCTTCTTGGTCTCAAGAGAGTTTTAGATATTTTTTTTTCAATAAAAGCACTTTTAATCCATAAAAGATGCTCAATGTTTGTGCTTCAGAAATCAATACGTATTGGAGTTTCCTTTCTAGCTAGGGTGGGAAAAATAGCACATAGAGCAGGGAAAGCTTTCTTATCAGTATCATGTGCTAGAGCATTCTTCACCAAAACAAAGAATGAATTGGGGAGGAGAAAATTAAACAAAACAGCACAAGCATGAGGCCCTAAGTTAGACCACACTCTCAGCTTTCTCAGAAACTTCTCTGCTGACTGTTGTGAAATGCAGACCCTGGCAGCACATTTGCTGTTTAAATGTCCCACAGGCATGGATATTGGAATGCAGCTCTAGGATAGAGGCTCAGGGAACGAGAGCCCTAATGAAGATAGTGCTGCTCAGTGGGAGTGGAAATCAGTCATCTCACTGTGTCCATGTGAAGGCTAAAGGTGTCACCATGTGAGCCAAACAAATGGAGAAACTACGTCATTCTTCAGGCAAATACTGGGGTTTTGGAGTAAAGACATACTAATGTCCAAGGTCACAGAATATACTGTTGCTGACAGTATGATGTTTGCCAAACAGCCCCACATTGTACTTTTCCCATGGATATGGACCTGCAATATGAAGAAAACAAAATCACGCCTATGTCTGGATTTGGTGAACAGCCATGGCGTGATTTGATACAAAATGGAAAGCTGATACACCATATATGGTGTGTGTTTTTCACAGAAAAATCTTGCTAAGCAACTGAAAAGTCTGCATGTCTTGGTAATGTAGGCAGAAGATATTTCAGTGGGCTTTTCATGGAGACTTGCACTTACACCTCTCCCAGTAGGCATATTACTTCTGGCAACCATTATTCTTATAGTGTGAAAGAAAATCAGTATTTGTGGTTTCTTTAATTCTGGTATCATAACATCACGTTTTATCACTCCACATATAAATCAGGAAGTGAAAGCATGTTTCCCTGCTAAATTTTCAGTAGAAGTATGGGGCTTAGGAAACCTCAGGAGTAACAGTAATTCATGCCAGTGAAGGGTCTGCCCCAAAGCTCTGCATTTTCGTTTCTAATCTTCCTGTTAGCACAGCACAGTTTTCTGAATATAAGCTTTCTGAAGATCTAAACCTACACTGAAAGTTATACCCCAGATCCCAGCAAAAACTTTCTATGCTTTCTCTTGTAATTATTCACAGGCATGTTTTAGAAGAAAGAGGAATAATTTGAAATAATTGGAAAAGTCTCAGTTTCGCAGCATCGTAACTTGCATTATATATACAGGGGAGGGAAAGTGGGTGGAAAAGCAGGGACAGCAAGTAGGTCCAATGAATGCAGGTGGTTGCTGTCTAGCAGCCAATCAGCTATCCTGGGCAAGGACATCTGCCCAGAGAGGAGGGAGAATAAAGAAGTGGAGGAAAAAAAACAACAAAAAAAAGAACAACAACAACAAAAAAACCTGCCAAGAATGTTATAAAAGTTAGCGACTGGAAGGACTGGGTCTCTTTGCCTGCAGCCACCTCACCAGAAGCTTGAAGCAGAGGCAGTGTCCAACGGCAAGTAAGTAGCTATTTGTTTCTAAACTGTAGAGCTGGCAACTGCATCAGTAGCTGTGAGTCAATGTGTTTATCTGAGCAAGGCTTTTGGGGGGGCGGTCAGGTTTTGTCTTGTTTTTATTTTTACTTTCCAGAAAAAAACTTGCAAGAAGTGAGCACTCAGCTACGTTGTGGTGATCCTTGTGACCCACTGGCTGTCTAACTTAGTTGAGATATTTAATTCTCTTTGAGTAAGTGATTCTTCAGTATAGAGGACTAGAGGAAGAATATATTGGCATTGCTTTCTACTGCTTCATCTGCTTGTGTAGTACATGGATTTTTGTTTTGTAAGGAGAAGAAAGAATGGCTGGAGAATGCAGCTGGTCCTGACAAATTGCTGTGCTGACAGAAGTGTAATTATCTGTGCTCACTGTCAGCAGTGCTGAGAGGATTCTTTGGTAGGGGAATGTATGGTACTGTGCAATGCAGAAAACCAGTCAAAAGAGAACACAGACTTGGGAATACTGTTTTTATGCCTCTGCAACAGGCTGTAACTCTTCTAGTGAGCAGCCAGCCTCAGGAGATTACTTGTCAACAAACTCTGATCCTTACTGAGTCTATCACCCTCCCTACGTGCCCAGCACCCAAAACAACTTAGTCTATCTGAAACTTTGTCCCTGCTTCCCCCACCTCTCCTGCTGCCATCACAAAACTTGATTTCTCAGCTAATTCTGAAGCAGATTTTTATCTCCTCTGAGTAGAGCCCAGCCCTGAGGGAGAACTTTCACCTAAGGATCAGCGAGGCTTACTTTCAAGATAAAAGTATTTGCTGCCACCTCACCCATCTTGAGTGCTCCAAGATTGTTTACATGGATTGCTGAGGTTCCTGAGAATAGCTTTCTTTTACTCTTGTTTGAGAGATGACATTGAGGTACATTCACTCAGAATTTTGAGTACAGCTCTGCAGATAACAGAGGAACCAGGGCAGGTCTCACATATTCCCATCCAGATGAGACAGGGTGCTGTAGTAAGGTCCTCAGACAAGGCATGTTCACACTCTCAAAAAAAAAAAAAAAAAAAAAAAAAAAAAAAAGCCTACTCAAAGACATGTCAAGATGGTTAAGTCTGTTTTTTCAGAGCTTATATCAAGGGAAAACATGCTGCTTTTTCTACCTGACATCAGTCTAAATATTTCTTCTTGTCCTGTGCCCTTGTCTCATTTCTCAGCACCTATAAATGAAATGTTTTGTTATATTAAAACCTGCATTCCTACCACAAACATGAAGAGAGCAACATCTTGTTCTTCCCTCACAGATCCTTCATTGTACATACAGGAGACACAGCTTCTAACTGTAGCTTCCATAACAAAGTACTCCCACAGAGTCACAGAGTAGTTCTGGCTGGAAGGACAAGGGGAGGTCTGCATGTAGCCTATTGTCCTGCTTGGATCAGGCTGCTCATGGCTTTTCAGGCAGGTCTTGACAGCTTCTAAAGATGAAGATAGCCAACTTGCTCCATTGCTCAGCTGTCCCAGTAGTGAAGAACATTCTTTATATCCATTATGAATCTCCCTTAGTTTCAGTTTATGCTTGCTGTCTCACTCTCCTGCCACACAGCTGCGAGGAGCCTGGCTCTGTCTGCAGATCGCCTCAAAAGGTACCAAGGGCTGCTGAAAGGTGCCCACAAAGCTACTTCTGCTCAAGGCAGAGCTAGCCCCAGCCATCTGGCCTTCTCACAAGGAAAGGTTCAGCTAGACATTCTTGGTGGCATCCACTGAACTCACTCTGGTTTGCTGACATCTTTTCTGTACTGCAGCTGCATGAAAGTGGATGCAGCACCCTGACATGGTGTAACCCATTCTGAGCAGAGGGGGATAATCATTGTCCTCCTGTGGCACTCCAGGTCACAGCTCTGCTTGCATAGGGCACTGCTGTGCCTTGTGGCTGGCCCCTCCTCAGCTCACTGCCTGGCAGGCAGTCTCCCAGGTGCTGTTCCTCAGCCTCAATGACCCCAACAGAACCACTGCCAGGAGGCGGCTGGCTATTTGTCCTGGCCCAACTCCATACTGTTCCTGTTGGCCTCCTCCCACTCCCTGTTCAGGCTGGACTGTGTGGTCACCCTGCAACAGAGCACATCAGTCAGTCTTATCAGATGAGTGTTTTCAGTGGTCCAGATAAGAATGTGCTCTGTCAGGAAGGCCTACCTAACCATTCAAACCGACCAGTTTGACAGGTGACCAAGTAATCAGTGGCCAGTAGATTTACCAACTATAAAGAGAATATTAAGTGCATGACACATTATGGACCTGACCCTCCAACGCATACAGTGTGAAAGAGGAGTAAATCCAGTCAAGTTAAAGCCATGCCCAAATGTGGCAGGCTCAATTCTTGAAGACATTTTGCTATCAACAGTATGTTTTTATCTATATCTGCAGCTTTTGTGTCTTCAAATCTTGTCATGTGCACTCTTCTGAAACAGAATCTCTTATGTGCACAGTAAATGATATGCACATGTGCTCTGTATTGCAAACTGTTAAGAATGGTTGCTGACTGTGTTTACAAGTAAATGATCAGCCAAAGCCACTCACACTGGTCACAAAGCATATTTTGACTTTGATCCAGCACATTTGGAAACAATTTTATAAAAATAGGCAATGAAGACACCAAGAGAAAAAAAAACATACAGATGCTCACCTGATCTTTAGCCATCTGCCAACCAGGATCTAGGTGAGATTTTCTGAGAGGTTAGAAGATGATGGTCACTTCAGGTAGCTGGAAATTAAAGAAATTGAAAACATATTAACGATTCAAAGATGACCTGAAATGGAATTTCTTCTTCTGCTGTTTGGCTTGCCTCTGCCCTTTCTTTCTCTCTATTAATACTAACAGAATGCAGTGTTTGTACTGATATCCATAAATACATTTTCACTGCAAGCCCTCCATTATGGTGACGGAGGAAAACTTGAGACTTCAGCAATGTGATATTTGCTTTTACAACTATGCAGTCCTTTTTCTCCCCACCTCTATTTCCTGCTGGTCAGCTCTGGAGGCTGAACAAAGACCTTTCTTTGTTTATGGAGCTGCTCCACAATGCTCCAGGTAGCCATAAGACTGTTGTTATGCATTCAGCACAGTTTTAGGATTTTGTTTGTTCTTCCACCTTTTAAAAACATTGATACTGAGCAGCTGACACAAAGAGAATGGTTGCTGTTATGGTTGCTGTTATGTACACACACGTATCAGTGTGAAACAACTTGAGCTTATGATATTTACCATACTAGCTGACAGACTAAAATGGGTGAAAAAAAATGTTCTTGAGAAACTTTAGTGGGGGGACAATTCTAGATGCTGTTACTGAGAATAAAATTCCTTCATGGAAGAATGAAATGGGCTGCCCAGCCATGGCAGCCTGAATGCAATCATTCTTCACTAGAGATTCACAGAAAAATAAAATCCTAAATGCAGGGTCTTTTAACATTTTTTACCTTGGAGCTACTTCTCACCTTACAATTGCTCTTTTGCTTTCACTTCTTCACCATTTCAGTGAGACACGCTGTGCATTTTATTACTCACGGTAGCTCAGCAGAGCAGCTGTGAACCACTCACCATGGCCTTTACATATCACTTTGTAGAGACTTTTGAAAAGCCTCCACTTACCCTTTTCCAATCTGTAAGATTCCTGCATGAGAAATGCAATTAATCTGATGTCTTACTGTTCATTTTTGCCTTGTGGAACTACACCCTATTGTTTCAGTCTTTCAGAGTACACATTTTGGCCAGTACTAACTACTGAAACCTCATACTCCTGCATTTCAGCAATTTGCTTTGCTGGCTGTTCTTGGGTGATAAATGCCTTTTTCCTATCTTTATGCAAGCACAAGGAACAGGCAAGATATGAGACATGAGTCTTGTTGCTTAATGTATTACTAGAGAGAACCCGTAATAGTGTTACTAGAGTGATGGTTTTGTATCTCAACTAGCTGGACAAAAGATTACCTGGATACATCTGCTCATGCTGTAGCACACTACAAGCTGTAAATCTGAAATCCTTTTACTGGTTTGGTAATTCATTAATTCAACTTTGGAGTACTTGCAATTTGCAAGCTTTTTTCACAGAGGCTGTGAACAAATAGAGTTGTTCCTCACCAGTCTGCATAGCAAGTCACTGTTTTTAATCAGGTGCTTCTTTGGTGTTGTTTTTAATGATTTATCTCATGGATGTACCATGTGCTGGTGGACTGGTTGTCCTGTAGCTATAGAAGATGATGACAGAGGAAAAGAGAGTCTCCAGCTCAGACTCACAAGCACACGTGTATAGAGAATTATCTTGGGCTACTCAGATGCTAAACTAAAATTTAATCCTGTTTAATGAGAGATTTACTAAGATCAAATATGGTGTCAGAACAAGACAGATCCTGAAATTCAGGAGGTGGTTGGTTATGTGCATCTGGTAAGCATCTACCAGAAGTGAGAAAACAAAAATGGGTGGTGAATCCTACTAACCTCCCACTTCTCATGAAGAGTAAGCATTGCTCTCCAGTCCTTAGATATGGGGAGGAGAGAATCAGAGAACAAAGCAGGAGAGAAGAACTGAAAAGGCAGTCAGACAAAGTAGAAAATACTGTGAAGGCAGGACAGGGAATGAGAGAAGAATTATTAGGAAAAGGGGAAAGCAAAGCAAACTGTGTGAAAGCTGTCGGTTTTCTTATTAGAACGAACAGGCTGCAAGTGCTTTGCAAAGAATTTTGCAGTGTCTGCAATGTGCCTGCTTGTAAATTCAACACATTTGTTTTTGGGGGGGAGGGGATGGAGCATAACCTTCCTTTAGCCTCCAAGCAAATCTGTATAAAATACACAGTCATTCACACCTTCTGATTGACTAAGATATGTTTAGATGTGGCTCCTGCTCTTCCCTGTTCTGATTTTGCCAGAGACACAAGAACAACTCACTAGATTTCTGGACATATGTCTCCAACAGCATGGGCTGGACAAGCACAAAGCTTCCAATAGGCATACTCAAGGCTAGTGTCTAAGGTGGACTGTTTGTTCAGTCTGTCCTCATCTTATAACTGCCCTTTTTTTCCACAGATAAGTCACCATGACCCACCAGTTTCCAGCTCTATCACCAGAGCAGAAGAAGGCTCTTTCAGACATTGCTCAGAGGATTGTGGCTTCAGGAAAAGGGATCTTAGCCGCAGATGAATCGGTCGGTGAGTTACGAAAAGCAATCAATTTGCAATACCCAAGACTTTTTATTTTGGTTCATCTTTGAATTCAGTGGAATAAATAAAAAACATTTAAAGACTGTTAACTGATCAGGGACAGCTCAGCTACCCAGAGCTGCATCTGAAGCAGCGGAAGGTGACTGTGTGTTGAGGAAAGCTCTACACTATAGCCCAAGTTCTTTCTATTTACTATATGTGGTGGCTAGGAGGGTAGCAAAGCCTGATACATTTGCCTGCCCTTTGGCAACTTTGTTAGGTACCATGGGAAATAGGCTGCAGAGGATCAATGTGGAAAACACAGAGGAGAATCGTCGAGCTTTTCGAGAAATCCTCTTCTCTTCTGATGCTTCCATCAGCAAGAGCATTGGAGGAGTGATCCTTTTCCATGAGACACTCTATCAGAAAGACAGCAGTGGAAAGCCATTTCCAGCTATCATCAAAGAAAAAGGGATGGTGGTGGGAATAAAGGTGAGTTACATCCTTTCATGCTAAAAGAACTCATAGGTCATCCACTACAGCCAAATCCATATTGCCATTTATATCCAATTCAATTCTGTTCTTCCCCTTTACTGCACCTCTTCCTCCCATCCCTTCCCTCCCTTACACTAGTAGTGTGTTCAGCCCTATATTTCAGTCACAGTCAATGTGCAAAGGTAGACCCACTCTGGGTCACTCCTGTCATTTTGTAACCCTTTCTATTTTTGCTGTCTCTTCAGCTGGATGCAGGCACTGCACCTCTGGCAGGAACAAATGGAGAAACCACCATCCAAGGTAAGGTGAGATCTCAGAAGCCCCAGTTGTGAGTGATACAGTGAAAGCCATGGTGCGACTCAGCAGGAGATGCAGCCATGGCTGGTGTCACTGCATGTTTCACAGTTGTATCCTATCCCCTCAGTGAAGCACTGTTCTTTCATCTGCAGGACTTGACAAACTGGCTGAGCGCTGTGCCCAGTACAAGAAAGATGGTGCTGACTTTGGCAAGTGGCGTGCAGTGTTGAAGATCAGTAGCACAACGCCCTCTCAACTTGCCATCCAAGAGAATGCCAACACCTTGGCACGTTACGCCAGCATCTGCCAGCAGGTATCTGCCCTCCAGAAAAATTTCTTGAGATTCTGTTGCCCCTTCCTTGTTGTTCCCTGTGATAACAGATGAGAGATCTTGAAAGGCTGATCTCTGGGGGGGGGGGTTTGGGAAAGATGAGGATGAAGGGCAGTAAAGCAAGAAGAAATACCACCAAACACAATACGGATGGCAAGTAGTTTTTTTCTTCCACACTTACAAAGACTCCCATGTTTTTCTTCCTTAGAATGGGTTGGTGCCCATTGTGGAGCCAGAAGTCTTACCTGATGGTGACCACGATCTCCAACGCTGTCAGTATGTCACAGAAAAGGTAAAGAGATTCCTTATTCTCTGCTTGCCCTCACAAATCACTAGTTATTCTTACACAGAGTTTGTATTGCTCTCAAGCATTTTTAAAGAATAAGTTCCTTCAAAACTGCACCACATGAACTCACATCAAATAATTAGCAAAAAGCAAACTTGCAGTAGAATCCATGCTTTTTGGATTTCCATTCAAACTCTCAATATAAACATTCTTGACCTCAGAAAGATACATAAAGTGCTTTACTCTTTGTTCAGTACCTCAGTTGCAGGGACAACCCTTGCCAAAATGGAAAATGGTATTCTGGTACTGCAAAAGTTCTCCAGGGCTCTCTAGGACTGCACCTCCTGTAATAAATTCTAAGAGAAAGTGAGATGTGATTTGATCTTCTCACGCTTCCAAGGAATAAGTTGTCTTTCCACAGCAGGTTGAGGTAAAGATTTGAGGACAGGTTTGTATTCAATCTTCCTTTTCAATCATTAGGTTCTGGCTGCTGTCTACAAGGCCTTGAACGACCATCATGTCTACCTGGAGGGAACTCTGCTGAAACCCAACATGGTGACAGCTGGGCATTCCTGCCCCAAGAAGTACACCCCTCAGGATGTGGCTGTAGCAACTGTCACTACTCTCCTCCGCACTGTTCCTGCTGCTGTTCCTGGTGATTCTTGAGTAGTTCTTATAGTAAAAAAAACAAAACAAAAACAAAAACAAAAAACCCTTTCAGTTTTACTAGACTTGCTCCTACATGTGATACGCTGACTTCTCTGTCATAGTCAGTAAGTGTGGCAGATGGAGCAACCTATTTCTAAGTCTTGAGGCCTCTGTCTTTCAGGAATCTGCTTCCTGTCTGGAGGTCAAAGTGAAGAGGAGGCTTCTCTCAACCTGAATGCCATGAATCAGTCCCCTCTGCCTAAGCCTTGGAAACTGACCTTCTCATATGGGAGAGCTCTGCAAGCCTCTGCCCTGGCAGCATGGCTTGGCAAATCAGAGAACAAGAAGGCTGCACAGGAAGCCTTCTGCAAGCGGGCTCAGGTATGAGGCCTTTCCCTTGATGCAGAGAAGTGCTGCTTAATTTGCACCAAAGTTGTTGTTTTGGTTGGTGTGACAGAAGCCTAATGCAAGAAGCAACAAAGGTTGTTACTAGAGGCAACAGGATAATTTCGTTTTGTAAAGTAGATTTACAACTACTTTGTGTTGGTCTGAAAAAATTGTTCCCCTTTCTGCATAACCACGTGACTCCCAGAGAGATATCCCTGGGAACTGCCTTGGCAGTGCCACAGAACTAATCTAGCTCATACGTAACATTGGTGAATTCAGAAGTTGACTGATTTTCCCCTATTTATGCCCTTTGTTCATTCCTACTATTGTTCTACATCTCTTTCTCACTCTGTGCTATTGGGTTTCCCTCCTTTTCTTTTTCAGATTAATAGTTTGGCTTGCAGAGGACAGTATGTCACATCTGGGAAGAGTGACGCAGCTGCCACACAGTCACTTTTCACTGCCAGCTACACTTATTGAAAGCACAGGAATCTGCATTTGTCCTGTCCTTCTCCACAAGGTGGAAGATGCTCAGAAATGAAAGAAAAACAAAGAAACCTGATTTCCCTTTCCCTGAACAAAACTGGAAATGGATTAGTTTACTCTCCTACCTTGGCTTCCACAATTTACAAAGGGGATATTCTTTTTTTTCACTTACACTTTCAAAAAACATAATTCTTTCCACACAAGAAACATCTAACACTGAATCACAAATCCACTCTCCTAGTTTAAACTTAATTCCCAGAGTAGTAGTAGTTCCCTAGTAACTCAGATAGATACCCCCATTACCTCACTTTGCAGTCAAATCCTGAATTATAGAACCTATGTGTATCATTAGTTGTGTGAATAAAACAATAATTAAAATCCAATATATCTCACAAATCCTTATTTTTTTTTTATAAATCCTTCATTCTTTTTCATGCCTCTGTAGTTCTCAGCAGCACCATAAACATTAAGACAAAGTGCTTGGGAAATCCTGCAGAGATCTAAATGAAATAAGCCAGTAATGATAAAGCTGGAGATGTTAATCCTGCTAACTGAAGACAGACACTGAGAAAAGCTCAGAGTGTACCTGAGAAGCTCTACACTAAGCTAAATAACACTTGCCATGAAAAGTTTATCCTTCCTAGAGAGAATTATGCATTTTGTTTGGCTTAACAAGGCTGCCAGACACAGAGTTAGGGTAGCATAAGAAATGTGAGGACTATTTTCCTTGGTGCTATTACTGTAATATTTTCAGAGCAATCAGCCATAAGTGTGCAGGGAGGGATTTTGATCACAGAATCACAGAATGGCCAGGGGTGAAAGGGACCTCAAGGATCATGAACCTCCAACCCCACTGCCACAGGAAGGGCCACCAACCTCCACATTTAATATTAGATCAGGGCCCCATCCAATCTGGCCTTGAACACCTCACCTCTAGGGACAGGGCATCCACAATCTTTCTGGACAGCCTGTTCCTGCACCTCACCACTCTCTCGGTAAAGAACTTAAGCTGGCTTAATTTGAGTAATTTCTACCCACATAGCACAATTTGAATAATTATGTTGATGTTGAAGGCCCACTGTTTGACCTGTGATATGTTGTCACGTACTTGATAGCGATGCTAAGCTTTCTTAAAGCACAATTACACAGCTATTATGAAAAAAGTGCTAAATGTTGTGAAAAATAAAATGTAGTTCTATTTGCTGTACAGGTAGAAACAGCAGAACTAAAGTAAGCAAAAGAATGTTTGCCAGGCAATATAAAACACTGATCACCTGATAAGACCCTGGGGCAGTCGACCAACCTGTGAAGACCATACAAGCCTGAAGGTGCTCATTCCCTCTTAGAAAGCTTATTCCTTCAGCTGGAAGTGGGGGTCAGAACTCCACCTTCAGGCTCACCTACCTGGTAATGGAGGTGAGGTCACCCAGGATCCAGCTTGCGCAGCCACAACCTGGTGCTCTGCTTGTCCCAGCCATTGGCACCTACTGCTCTTGCAGCAAAGAAAGCAGGTGAATCATTTTCCTGTAACTTCACAGTGCCCTTCCTGTTAACAGCCACCCATTTTAGAGGCAGTGCATCACAGAGATCCAACAGTCACAGTAATCACACACTCACAGAATTGAGGCATTGGAAGGGACATCTGGAGATCCCCCAATCCAACTCCTTGCTCAAGCGGGCTCCCTATGGAAGGTTGCATGGAAAAGCATCCTAACAGGTTTTGATTATCTCGATGAAGAGACACCACAACCTCTCCAGGCAGCCTGTTCCAGTGCTGTGAATTCATGTGTGCATTCATCCCATCCTGACCATGGTAAACCAGTCATATACGAACTGAGTGACTTGTCAGAAGGCACTCAGGCGCCAGCAGCAGGGACAGGCACAGCACCTCTCTTCTGGTTCAGCTGTGGTCCCCTACATCTCCATGCACCTGAATTCCAACAAGCTCTGCTCACAGCGAGCAGCTCATTGCAGCACGATGCAAAGTGTGGAAAAGGCATCCCTGAATCCAGCAAAAGACCCTCTCTCCCTTTCGAAAACGAGCGCCTTGGCTTTGCCAGGTAACTCCCGTTTGTGCGGGGGACAGCTGCCGTGTGACACAGCTTCTTTCTGACTGACTCACTTACGGCCAGGACAGATCAACGTTCGCTGCACCGAGCGTTGTTTCTCGCTCTTACAAAACACGGGAAAACGGCTCTTGTCCCGGCGCCGTGCGCCGCAGCGCAGCCCGCAGGACAAACCATGCCGAGAGCACTGGAGCGGCACTACGCCTCCCGTCAGTCACGGCGGGAGGTGGCGCTGACGTCATTTCCGGTCAAGAGTAGAACGTCATTTCCGGCCGGGTGTGAGGCTTCTTCTCAAGATGGCGGACGCCATAGGGCTGCTGGTGGTCGGACGGCGGTTGAGAATGGGGCTGGGCCGCACGCCGCTTCGGGCGCTGTGGGGCGGCCACAGGTGAGAGCTTCGGGCTGCGTCTGGGGCTGGCGGTACGGTCCGCCGTTGCAGGCAGTTGGCTCTGCTGGGAGGCATTTTTAAATGTCTAGGCACAGCTTTAGTGACTGAAAATGCTTTTCTTTAATGCCAGCAGGAAGGAGGACAAAGAAGTAGGAGAAGACAATGTAATTCCTCAAGAAAAAAAGGAACCCAGCCTGATCTGTCCCCCGCCACGCAGCAGAAAGTATTTTCCTCCAGAGGACATACAGAGCATCCTCGAGGCTCGTGTCAAGGAGATTTGTGGGCCATCACTTGCCGGCAACTGGCAGCAGACGTCTCTGAAAGACAACAGGTTGAAATATCGGCTCCTGGCTCAGCTTGCAGAAGAACTTGGTCACGCTGTGCCCAACTCACAGCTCCACCTGATGTGCAGTGCACAAGATGTCCTGACTTTCTATAGCACTCCTGTGAAGGATATGTCAAAGTTTGATGAGCTGTGTGCTGCAGAACTGCCCCCAAACTTGAAGATTGCCTGGGAGCGGTGAGACCAGGAAGCATCACTGCACTTTGGTTGGATTCTTAAGGCCAAATTGTGGAGCTGGAGCAGAACCATTTCATTGTTATATCAACCTGATATGAATATCACCAATAAAAATGCATCCATTTGTCTTCAGATTTGTTTCTTTTTATTGTATACTGAAAAAGTGGAAGTTGTACTTAATGAAATAGTGTTGTGATGCTTAACAGCTGCAGGTCTAGTGGGGGTAATTAAAGTGATGCTGCTCATAAACATCTTGTCTTTCATTCCAAGCCGTGTAATGGGATTCAATGAGTGTGTGTTGATCTGTTTTGTGATGCTGTTTAGCTCAGTCACCAAGACTAGGCCAGCAAATTCTTCAAGAAGGTGTGGGGATGTATGCTGGCATCTTCGCTGTCCCCTCCTTTTGCCTTTCTGAGAATCAAAATTGTGTTAGAAATGCTTCTAAAACCCATCACAGACATCATCTTAAAATAGAACTCCACTTGTTCTACTAAAAATTAGTATATGAACATAGTGATTGCCAGGCAGAGCAGCAGCCATCAAGGTAGCTTCTGGCATTCTTCTGTGACCTAGTTTTTGTATTCTAAGTTTTGCTGGCCCTTGTAGCAGCTATTACTCAGTGTTAATTTCTCTTTCACATACTAGAAGGAGCCAGGAGGAACAAGAAGAGTCCTGGGTACACCGGCAGTACTGGCTGGGGAGCAAGAGAGGCCACAGCCATCCAGCAGGATCACTTGGCCCTAGCATGCAGCTCAGCTACAGCTGCCAGTTGCATTACATAGGCCAGGTTTGCATGAAACTTCATGTACTCCCAAGAACTGTACATCCACTTTAAGGTGATGCAATACTGATGAAAAGCACAGCATTGCAATGTATTTATTTTAGGCAATACGTCTTTACTAGAGACTGTGGAAGCCACTGTTAGATCTCTGTACAGAAGCTGCCTAAACTTGCTGTAAATGACACACTGAGAAAGTTGTACCTCTGAATAAAAAACCCAAAAAACCCCATGGACTACATCTGCAAAAAATGAGATACAGAATATAACTGGGTTTATTTTAGTATTCATTTCCCCTGCTAGCCCTTTGGAGCATGATGAGGTGCTGCTGACTGGGCATATCAGATGGAGTATTCTTTGCTGATGATCTTCCCTAATGCCATTATCTTCCTAAGACAGCAGAACCAGCCAAGTTTATTCAGCAGTTCTTCCCCAGTTTGAGGGAATTTGGATCAAAGTTGTAGTGAAGGCCCCAGAACACTTCTTGTGATTCCTCATGGTTCTGTACGGCCCAAGTCTGATCCTGACATTCCTAAGACTGACCCAGACATCAGAAGAGTCATGAGAAAATACCTACATGGAGAAATTACTGCATGACAAGACACAAACAGACATCCCATGTTTTCTTTGTGCAGCAATATACAGAAGAGACAGAAACCACACTACTTTTTTTTTTTTTTTTTTTTTTTTTTTTTTTTCTTTTCCCATCTGTTTTGGAAAAAAATATACAAAAAAAAGCGAAGAACCAAAATGGAAATGTGAGGTAAACATTCCAGTAAAAGTACAGACAGAGGCTCCATTCTTTAAAGGATACACACAGCAATTATCACCATGCTACAAGGATGAGATGCAGGAAAAGCCTAGAAACAGTGAGACATCATGTAATGAAGCCTTTGCCCCAGCTCTCACCATGATATATGCATTCTTTTTGATCTCCCCCTGCCTCCCCAACCCCCAATTATCTCTTTATTCCTTAAAGAGTGTTGCCGAATTTTGAGATAGCTGTACAGATAGAAATTCTGCATGGCAGTATTTACAAAAATGCAGGCTGCTACTACAGACTGTGTCAGTTCAGGTATTTAAATTTTTTATTTTATTTTTTTAAACTCACCAAAGCCCCTCAGTGAAAACAACATTGTCAGGGCACAACTGGCTCAATGCTGAGGCCAATCTGAACACTCAGTAATGCCACTTCACAGAAGATGTGGCATCACCTTTCCCTTGTATCAGTGTTACCTCATAAATCTAGGATGAAGTTATGACACACTTACAGCGCAGCCTCCGCTCCACAGTGATGGCTGTATATCCCCATAGTCAGTTCCTGAAGCCAGGTTCCACTGGGAGCTTAGGCTGGGCCTAGGGGAGGATCTAGGGATATGATATAGTCAGCTCACATGCTATCAGCTACTACTATAAATTTTCATGTCCAGTCTGTCTATATTGCAGACTGGATACGCCACTTCAGTTATTCTTCAATAACTAGCACAATCACTCACACCAGAACAACCAGGCTCTGATTCAGTCAGATACTTATGCACACATCAGATCTGCCAAGTTTGGAAGCTGCACGGCTAGCTGAAGTCTGTGATGCTAAGGCTTGCTTAAGTAGCTCACTGAATCAAGGCTGGATGTTTACTACTTGTTAGTTTGGGTTAGATTTCTGATCACCATTATTTTCATCTGAGTTAAATATATGTAATTACTTCAGAGCTTACCAAGATCAGAATCTGACCTGCTGGTTGAAGCACTTTGTTATGGTAAGAAAAGGTAAAAGTGAATTTTTTCTCAAGATATATTAATTCAAAAATGAAAAAAATCCGTGTACAAATATCACATAACAACACCAACAATTCCATAGATGTAATTCCTCAGTGCACACTTTAAACAAGAAAAGGTTTTGGGTTTTTTTTTTTTTTTTTTTTTTTTTTTTTTTTCTTTTTCTATTTTGATTTTAAATTCTGGCATAATAATATTAAAGCTGACAAAAAATCAGGGCAAGCTACATCACTTCCTCATACAAAAAAATGTACAAAACATTAGCTTCTAACTAGACATAACATAATACTGATCATCACAGTCTGACACTTAGTAACTGCGTGTCTTGAAGTATCGTACTGGAGGGTAATAAAAAATAGCTTCTGCTGCCAGTCTTCCATCTCAAGTCACTTCAGTCATAGAGGCAGAGTGATTCTGCAAAGATGAAAACACAGACACATGAGCACTGGTACATGTCACTTACATATGTTGTGTGGAATGAATGAGAAGGCCCTTCACCAAATGCAGAGATGTGACATTTGTCACCCAACCAGCGTAGTGCTTTAGAGGAAGAAATGGCTGCAAATGTGACTGCTGTCTGTTGCGAGCTTATGACAGGCAGCTTGAACTGAGCCCTGCTCCTGGGCTGTGAACACTCACTAGCTGTTCTACAAAACAAGGTGCCACTTTTTCCTGGGAATTTTCGAACTGGACTGAATTCTGTCCAGAGGCACACGTCAGTGTGGGTTCATAGCACTCCTTACAGTCACGTAGCTAACGCCATCTCATGTGCCTATCCTCAGTCACTAAGACTGTAAACAACATAATGTAAAGTCACTGTAAACAACATAATGTCATTTCACATGTTTGGCTTTGTGTGAAGTGCGTGTGTAGATCCTACAGCTCAATGCTAGGCAACTTACAGAGCTTAAAACCATTAAAACCATTAAGAAACCTTACGTGGAGAGTAAGTATGGCAAAACACAGGCATGCACAAAAGTCCTCTTTGTGTCAAAACAGATAGTGCTGATTCTTGGAAGCCAGTGTCCAGGAGCTTGGTAGCAGCACTGGTTTGTCCTCAAATCACACTGCATATGCAGGTTTTGTGTGCATGCAAGGAAAACACGAGTGGGGACAGATGCAGAAATCTCCAAGAGAAGGATATTCCCTATGTCAGAAGGAACACTAACAAGCAGCCACTCCAGGGATTAATTATAATAGCTTCTTAATAGCTTCAAAGTAGGATCATATTTTTCTTCTCTTTCTTTTTTTAACCCCTGCCTATTAGGTGTATGGTCATTTAGAAACCTATACCCTGAATCAGACAAAATTACCTTCTTGATTAGAGCGCACATCATCAGTTAAGGCTCAGTCCCTACCTGCACCTCTCAGTCCAGAAGCTATAAATAGATGACTAGACAAAAATTTTCATAATCTGTAAATGCTTTTACCTTTTCTGTCATATACAGTGCAGTATAGAAGGATTTTGTTTCTGGACTGCAAGTCCACCAAGAGAAAACTTCATGCACAATCATTTGAAAGTCTTCCAGCAGAGTTTTGCTACAAGTCAATCACAACTG